TGCTGTTGCCTCTTGAGATGAAATCTAGAAGCCAGAAAGAGGCATTCTTGGGTTTAAGAACCGTAAATTACCCCACCTGGACAACATGACTTAAGTAGGGAATTCATTTGAGCATCTTTGGTGGGACTTCCAACATCATCAAATGTAGTTCTCAAAATTAAAACGCAATCACCAGAGAAATAGCAAATGCTGAGGTTTTAATTAACTCACCAGTGAAAAAACCAGCAGTATGACAAGCCACTTTCAAAGATGATCCAAGAAGCTTGTGTACTTATATATACACATTTGTAGTGTGTATATTAAAAAGAGGGAGAGAAACCAGAATAGGATTACTAAATTAGATGCAAAACTGGATAATGGGTTCTTGATCAATGAAACTATGACCTGTTGGCTATCCTCTACCAAATAGTAATCATTTACTTCTTTCCAGCTTTTTTCTTTCCCTCAAGTTGACATCTAACTTTACTGAATTGTAAAATGTTTGGGCCATAACAAGAGTAAACACTAAGTCAAAAGTTTTACATCTCCCTAGGGAGTCAAATAACCCTTGGGTAGGCATGTTAGGGAAAAGTAAGGTAAACTGGCAACCATTTTGTTTGTGGTTAATTGTTTATTTTTTATCTTAGTTCCAAGTTTGGACATTTTTGTCCTTACTCTGAAGCGGTGATTACTCTGAGCAGTTGAGTGATGGTGTCTTTCATGAGACACAGAAACTTCGAGAAGGTGCCTTTTTTATTGAGCAGAACACTATATATGAGAGCTTTACTAGACATATTTGAGCAGGCATGTCAGTTGACTGCTAGATGTATAACTCCAGAGTCCAGGGCTGAGTACAAGGTGGAGAAGCTCAACCAAGGTCTGTAGCATACAGACAGTATGTGAAGCTTGGGACTAGGTGAAACATCCCAGAGTTGGTTTCATATGGAAGAATGTAGGCCACAGGGCCGGACACTGGGGAATGCCAACCTTTAGTGGTGAAAGAGGACAAGTCTTGTCAGTGAGGTGCAAGTTTGGAAAATCCATGAGAATAAAGTATTTCAAACCAATAGAATCAAATGCCCTGATGAATGTTGTACTGGGAAGCTGCAAGGATAAGATCTGAGAAGTGACAGGATTTTGCTACATGGAGTTATTGGTGACTGAGAAGGGACAGTTTTAATGAAGTGGTAGAGCCAAAACCTGGTCCAAGTTAGTTCAGAAGAGACTAAAAGGACTAGGTAACTCCTGGAGATTTTCAGTCAGCAAAATGTCTGCATGAAGAGAGGTGACTAAAAAGAACGCGTGTTTTGTGTTGGCTTGATTGTTAAAAGTCTGTATACTGATAAGCCACTTTTCACCTCCTACTCATAAAGCCATTCATTAAACAATGGGGAAGTACTGGGGTCCATTTAGTGAGACGTAAGGTGCATGCTCTTATAAATATCAGAATCTTAGTAGAACTATACAAAATAGAAGACAAAAGGCCAGGACACAACAGCCGTGATGCAGACAAAAATCTTTGTGAAGCAGAAAGCCTTGCAATGCCTTGTGAAGGGTAAAGACATACAGACAAATGGGAAGAGTTTCCATGTAAAAACTGAGAGATGGGGAAGTAGGTATTTGTGCTAAACCAGTGACCATCAGAGGGATTAATTGGACTGGTTAGATCCTCCACACCTCCCTCAAATGCCTTATTATGTTCTCATCGAACATTTTAGAGAATTCCAGCTTCTTTAAGAAGTTACCTATCCTCCTATCATATAAGAATGCTTTTAAGCATCTAAACCAATATTTTATTTTTTTAGGAAAAATTACTTAATACAATTTATTCACACAATCATTTTTAATATAACCTCTTAAATCAACCTACTTCCATTGGTAACACTTAATATATAGATTTCCCCATGTGTATATGTTTTCTTTTTTTTTTTTTCCCCAAAAGTTCTATTTGGCAACATTGTAGAGCATTTCATTGCTAGTATTGTACTGGGAAGCTGCAAGGATAAGATCTGAGAAGTGATAGGATTTTGCTACATGGAGTTATTGGTGACTGAGAAGGGACAGTTTTAATGAAGTGGTAGGGCCAAAACCTGGTCCAAGTTAGTTCAGAAGAGACTAAAAGGACTAGGTAACTCCTGGAGATTTTCAGCAAAATGTCTGCATGAAGAGAGGTGTTTTGTGTTGGCTTGATTGTTAAAAGTCTGTATACTGATAAGCCACTTTTCACCTCCTACTCATAAAGCCATTCATTAAACAATGGGGAAGTACTGGGGTCCATTTAGTGATACGTAAGGTGCATGCTCTTATAAATATCAGAATCTTAGTAGAACTATACAAAATAGAAGACAAAAGGCCAGGACACAACAGCCGTGATGCAGACAAAAATCTTTGTGAAGCAGAAAGCCTTGCAATGCCTTGTGAAGGGTAAAGACATACAGACAAATGGGAAGAGTTTCCATGTAAAAACTGAGAGATGGGGAAGTAGGTATTTGTGCTAAACCAGTGGCCATCAGAGGGATTAATTGGACTGGTTAGATCCTCCACACCGCCCTCAAATGCCTTAATATGTTCTCATCGAACATTTTAGAGTATTCTAGCTTATTTAAGATGTTACCTATCCTCCTATCATATAAGAATGCTTTTAAGTATCTAAACCAATATTTTATTTTTTTAGGAAAAATTACTTAATACACTTTATTCACACAATCATTTTTAATATAACCTCTTAAATCAACCTACTTCCATTGGTAACACTTAATATATAGATTTCCCCGTGTGTATATGTTTTCTTTTTTTTTTTTTTTTCTCAAAAGTTCTATTTGGCAACATTGTAGAGCATTTCATTGCTAGTATTGTATATCCATTAAAAAAAGTCTGGAATCTTCCCTGCTCATCTTAATACATGTTCATGACAGAAATAAGATAGAAGACATTTCCTTATACTTTTAAACTTCTCTGTAACCTAAAGAACATTGCCCAGAATTTCACAGTAGTATTTTTCTGGATTGACTTTAAAATGCAAATTGAAAGCTGTAATAGAATTCCATTTTAATGGAATAATGGGGAGAAAAAAAGCAGACACTCCTTAATTAGTTTATACTTTCCAGTAAAGATAAAACCGTCAGATGAAGGGTTTTCAGTAACCGCTGTAAGATGTGTGTTAAAAGACTGATAACATGAAAAACCACTGATTTCTTAGTTTTGGGTGTTTGATTGAGAATGGGCATTGTGATTGTAAAACTGACCAAATCTTGACATTTCTGCACATTCTCCAGTAGAATTCTGCAAGTATAATATTAGACGCAAGTAGTGAGAAGAGCCTTAAGAAGGTGGCAGATTGAGATAATTTGTCCAGATAAATCTGTGAGATCAGTGAGGTTGACTTGATTGTTAAAGGTCTGTATACTGATAGGCCATTTTTCATGGACACAGGAGAAATTGACTAATAATTAGCAGGAAAGAGAGTCCACTGGCATTGGGACTGTAAATCCCAAAGGGATAAGTTTTGGACTGATAATATGTAATATTCTCATCTGGGTTTTGTAAAACAGAATGCATAAAATACATAGTAAAATTATCAGATATGCAAATAATGTTTAAAACTTTGAGTTGATGAAAAGATGATTGGAATAAATTGAAAAACTAAGAATCTTTTATTGTTATCAGAATTTTGATGTAGGCCAACTGAAGTGATGTAGCCAACTGTTAAAGATTCCAAGTCAACCTCCTTGCACAGAGGTCTTTGTTTCAGTGACCCTCCCACAAAGGATGTTGGTAGCCAGTCTCATCTCTTTTCTGCTGCATATGAATCCTCCAGTCTTGCCCACTGACCTTTCTGAACCGCTTTATATTCATTTCATCTCATTGCCAATATAGAAACAAAAGTGGTTTTCTCTTTCATCATTTGTAATCATATTAGGATTTCTTCTGACCCACATATGAAATTTCACCACTGTTAAAGATGCTGTGTTGGAAAACATGTAGTTTTTAGTTCAAAACAAGAAATAGAAACTGAAGACCAAGATGGCAATAAGGATCACATGTCAGTTTTTGCAAATATTTTGAAGAAGCATCAAATTAATTAATAGAGTCATTTCAAATCTAGTGAATCAGTACTCTATTAGGCCTGAAAGGGTAGTCTGACTTGGCCACACAGCTGAATATGCATGTAGTTTAAAAGGTCCCAGGAGTCCTGGCACCCATGCCCCATCTCTCCTCAGCTCTCAGACTGACACTGACTTTGACTAGTAGACAAAACTTTTCTCACTGACTTTCACTGGTGCCTGAAATTCTTAACTGTGGTATATTCTTTGAGGGAAAGAATGCATCTACTTAGATGAGCTTGTGCAACCTGAGAACACAGATAAGTACGTTTTGATAGAAGTTAACAAGCAAAAAAAGGAGCAGATACAGCATAGAGTGTGAGGCTTCAAGGGAGGACCTGGATGAGGGGAAGAGGAGGGGAAGCTTCAACCAAAAGCAGTATTTGCTTCTTGGCTTTTTTTTTTTGACTCCTTAGTAGTCTTGCTTAGCTTCATTAAGCCTGCAAAAAGGATTATTAGATCCCAAATGAGACAAATGCTATTTTTATTTCTTAAAAAAAATCAGAGTATCCGTTTTTTTACACTGTTTTTCTCTCAACACTATATATGAACTTTCCTTATTGATTTAAATACTTTCAGTTTTCCCCTGGTAACATAGTAACCACAGTATTTACAAAATCGGTCAGTACCACGTATCTCCCCTGGAGAGCACTGGTTGCCTTTCTCTTTAGGAAGTCTATAGAGTGTTTAGTCTATAGAGTGTTTCGTGTTGAAGTGGCATTGTTTCAAGCAATATCTATTCGTAAGTGTTGAGGATGGTGATATGATCTTAAGGTATATGTGACTGGAAGACTTCTTCTCAGTGGGCTTTTTCCCTAACAGAGTATCTGGATTGTTTCAAATGAATTGGATTTAGAATTTTGGTTATGCTGACCTGTAATTTATGGATGCATATATGTTTTTACTTTGTAAATATAGTTCATTTACCCCCAAAATGCAAGGCAGACGGATGGGGCCTTCGGGAAGAGCCATCACGAAGAGCACCAGCGTGAGTGGAGAGATTTACTCACTGGAGCACCATGACGGCAGCCAGTCAGACACAGCTGTGGGCACCGTTGGTGCCGGCTCCAAGAAGCGGAGGTCCAGCCTGAGCGCCAAGGTGGTGGCCATCGTATCCAGGAGGAGCAGGAGCACATCTCAGCTGAGCCAGACGGGTGAGTGACGCGGTCCAGCCCGAGCATTTCAGGTCCTTGCTGAGGCACAGTTGTCCCCACACTGTGGCTTGGGATGGGATTGTGGTATGGACCTGAATCTTCTCTGAAAATAATTTGTTTTCTCTCTCTGAAACATCTGTTAAATGTCTGGGTGTATTTTTTTTTTTTTTTTTCTGTGCAGCTTTCTGAACAAGGTATCATTTTCTGAAATCTGTAAAGTGGTCAGATATTTTTGAGTTAAAAAAATAAGGTCATATTTACAAATATTCAAGGAAATGCAAAGAAATTTTAAAGATCCAAATTTACTTATATGCAAGAAAAGCAACAGGATTCTCTTTTTTGCAAAATGTTCAATAACTCAATTACTTATAATTTAGATATGTTTATATTTTTAATAGAAAAGAAGGTCAGTTGTGCAACTTGAAATATAGTCTACAAGGTACTGTATGAATGTAATAATTGAACTGTGCTTGTTATAGTCTCAATGCAAGTAAAACCCCAGCGGTGTTTTTTGCTTCAGAAAAATGGGTCAGTGATTTTTTTGCAAAGAATAATGTTTTAATACAAATTTGTGTTTCAAATACTTTCTATTGTTTATAAATCTTGAAAACTTCATGTCCTAAAGGTGTGTGTGTGTGTGTGTGTGTGTGTGTGTGTGTGTGTGTATAAATACATACGTATATATAAACAAATGCAAATGGGAAAGATTTTTTGTTTTTGTTTTTATATTGTGAAATGTAATAAAACACTGCTAAAGTTTACATAATCTTGGTCTGACATATGAGATAATTCATTACCATGTTCAATACTATGTAAAACCAAAGGTAAGTGGAATATTGAGCCAATTTAAATGATCTGCCCCTGATTTTCCTCTAATAACTAATGTTGGTTCCATTTTCTGTTCCTTAATGGCAAGAGACTTGCCACAAAATTTACTTATGCCAAAAACCTTCATAAAATACTTTTTGTATCTCATTCAGCATTTTGGAATGTGCCTACTTCACTTTATGCAGTCTACTGCATATATTCACAAATAAATTGGAAGTGGGAAATTCAAGTCAAGTCTTAAGATCAAAGATTCAAATGAACTAGATTAGCTAGTATCCCTGTGACATCTACTGTTCCAGCAAGGTGTGCTGTTCTGTTTATTGTGAGGCAGAATCGCTTATCTTCCTTTAGGACAGCCTTCTTTAGAATAGGTGGGGGAGGCTTTTGTCATTTGTGTTGTTTGGTTTTTTTAATGGTGGTGCTTCTTGGTTATAGGTTTTTAAGTAACTGTACATCATGGGGTGTAGAGAAGACTTTGGCCACCAGACTGCAAAGTGCTTTGACTGAGATGAAATGGAATGTTCTTTGCTGTCATTTAAGGACCAATGTTTCCTTTGTGAGAGATGACAGGTTTAGGAGATGGTTTATTTTCTTACCCAAATTTCCACAGTCTCCCTTTCCTCTTCCCTCCCTCTCTCTTCCTCCCTCCTTCCCTCTCTCTCTTTGTCTGTCTCTCTCTCTCTCTGTCTCTCACTATCACTCTCTCCCTCTCTCTCTCCCTCCCTCCTTCCCTCCCCTCTTCCACTCTAGTTAGTTACTTCCCTATCTATTATTCACTAGTTAAATAGAATATAGGGTTTTTTAAAGTATAAAACAACAATCATTTTGCATAGGAACTCTCCTTGTACCTCATCTCTATTGGTGACAGGTTCAAATGATGGTCATCAAAACACTCAGCCCCTTTCTCCTTAGTTTAGGTTGTGTCCTGGTTAAGGTGATGTCCTAACTTTCAAATAATATCTCTTCCCAGAAGTTGATTGTTAATAGCTTCCATGGCATACCCTACTTTCAAGATTAGATTGCAAATAAAGGAGCAAAAAAGGACATTGGGTTAGGAAACCAAGATACCAAAATAGTTTTATCCCAAAGTGACTCCAATGAATGAACTCTGGCTTTTTCTCTCCAGGACTCAGTTTGTTGATATGCTGTGTTGAGCTGGGTGTCCAGTGAATTCTCCTTCTATGTAATAATTTACCCTTTGTTGATAACCTCTCCTTAGTCTTTATTCTTCTTGATTTTTCTGAAGCAAGTGGCAAAAGTCGATAACTCTCAGTTACCACTCCTCTTTGCATAAGTGCATAGCCTATTTTTTCTCTCTCTTAAATCATCTGACAGTGATATTTTTCCTCCATATTTCATCTTTCCTTAGAGGTTCACCAAAATTCCTAATTTATTACTCCAAGAAATTTTATGTTTTATCACGTTGAGTTCTGCATATGACCATAAAATCTTAGCCTCCAGATTCCCCCTCCCAAAATAAATGTTCCTTAATTTTAACCTCCAATAAGAAAGTTCCTCTTGGATGCCCCACTTGAAACATGTTTGGTGTTTCTGTATTTCCTAATTCCCAGCCCTCCCTTTCAGTAATGCCACAGTTTTATAGTTACTAGCCTATAGAACTATTTTGTCTTTTTAAAAATTTCCCTAAATACCCTCTTCCCCAGCCCATCACCTCAGAAAGACCATCTGGTGTGTGTCCAACTCTAATAAATACCCGTGTAAGTCGCTTGAGTGTCTTCTCTATGAAATGAAACCACTGGTCTCACACTGGTGTGAGGCATCTGGGCCCTCCCAGGGAAAGGGGTGATCATGACAGATTTTCTAACACTGTCAGTTGATCAAGAGTTAGCGGAGGCAACACCATTGCTTATCTATTAAAATCAGCTCGGTATTCAGTGGGATACAGTGTGTTATGTTTAATGTAAATGGTTAATTATGTTTAATATAAAAAAGACTTTGATTAAAGGCTTCTAGTATAGCGAGCCTCTTTACAGTAAGACACCGTGGGGTAGAGATTCTCTCCTCAGTCCTTACAGATACAGATAGGGGAAAATGTGAAGCACTTAAAAAATGAAATCCAGTGAGCCCTTTCAGAAGGGCAGGTTTCAAGCACATCATTTTTCTACTTTTTATTTTATAGCTATAAATGTGCTCAAAGGAGTATCCTTGGTCTTTGTCTGAAATCAAGTAAAATGAGGGGTGTGAGGGGGCAGATGATGAGAGATGTCTTAACAGGGACAGTGTACATGATCAGGTGACACACACCCTAGGCCCTGACCTCACCACTGTGCAGTTTGTGCGTGTGACAAAATTTCATTTGTACCCATAAATGTATACAAATAAAAATATTAATAGTAAAGCAAATTGAAGAGCACAGGAAATTATATATGGAAAATATGAATATGCAAATAAATTGCATATATGTTGCATATTATATATAAATATGCAATTTGCTATGCTCAAAACATGGTGTACATAATTTTCTATGTCCTTATATACTTTTTCACTTGTAAATAATATTAATTTTTAAAATCAGCTCTACCACAGTTTTCATTTATAATGAAACTAGGAATACCTTTATAAAATGTGTTTTTTCACCTGGGAGACTGGCATAAACAGGAAGGTTTCCAAACCATGAATCCAGTTGCTGCTACTGGCACATGCCCTCCCCCAGTCAAGTTCATGCTTCAGTCCCCCAGCGGACAGCAACTGAATTTGATTGAAAGGGTATGAGGTAGTAGTGGAGAAGGGGACATTTAGAGAAAAAGTCTCTGAGCCAGAAATATTTTGGAACTGAATGGAGATCTAGATGAGCTAGGGCTAGGCTTCTGATGCGAGGAAGATTTTGATCTATGTTGGTTTTGTGGCCCAACCCATGTAGTGAGGCTCTGGCCCTAACTGCATCATATTCATTAGAGGTGGGTCTCTCCTTGCTGAGAAAGGAAGGTGCTATTGGGAGGGGTCTACACATCTGTGAAAATTCATTTCTAAATGCACTCTTGAAATTATGGTGACAAGTATTATAAGAATGACAAATATTTGTGTGTCTAAGTGTATAAAACTGTAATATATCCATATTTCTTGAGTTCTATGCACTTTTAAGGGGTGTGTGTGTGTATGTGTGTGTGTGTATATATAATTTTACTCCTCTGTGGATTACAACAAACTTAGAACCTATTATTATCCCCACTTTGAAGCTGAAGACATGAAGACCTGGAGGGATTAAACAGCTTGCCCACAATGAGTGACTGGGTTCAAATTTAAACTCAGGCTACCTGGTGCCAAAGCCCATGTTTTTACCACTGTGCTGAAAATAAAGGTAAAAAGAGAAACTGAAATAAGGCCCAGCAAACATTTCGTGAACCTCTGTGGGGTTTGCACACGCGAGGTCCCATGCCAGGGGCTGAATACATGGGATAGAGGGTGAAAAGGCACTGCACTTACGCTTAGGAAGTCACAGTGTCTGGGGCAGTCTCAGGTATGTGTATCAGCTCTGAAGAGGCAGGTATCCAGCGCCGGAGTGCAGGAGGAGCAGGGCTGAGATGTGACGCCATCCATTAGGAGACTTTCTTGAAGAGATGGGGCCTGAGCATAAACTGTAAGTAAATCAGAAGATTACACAGGGATAGACTGTCCAAGATGAGGGAACAGTACCTGGATTGGACATTGAAAGTGGCAAGGGCTAGCTCCCCTGGGATATGGGGATATCTGAGTGGAGCCCGCAGTTGTGCGAAAGCCTCACTTAACGCTAATGGGTACCATCCTCAGTGTAAGGAAAGGTTATCTCAGGATAGACCTTAAATCGAGTGAGCTCTGTATAACTGAGGCTAAGGTTTCTGATAGAACTTTTAGCACTTATGAAGAAAACACCTATAAATGTAAAAAAAATCATCAGCTTTCTAGACTAGAAAGCACTCAGTTTATTTCATCTAAACCATTGAGTAGCTGTATCTGTAGAATGATGCCAGGCACAGTGTATGTGTCAAAAACAGAAGTGTCATCCCCACTGGAAGAACATTCACACCTGAAACATGTGAACCAAAGCACTAAATGAGAACATATAAAGTGAAATGCCAAAAATAGCAACGTTTAGTGCTCTTCATAGATGTCACCAATGAAAGTGAGTCAGGGGTCTCGGTCTCCTAGGTGAGGACACAACCAAGTTGGTGGGT